ATTTTTACACTAACACGAAATCACTGATAATTGCTGCTCTAATGCGAATTTGAACTAACAGTACGGCCTGTGATTTTACCCTTATTTATTGACAGATTCCCACCCCCAGGTTGGGTGGAGTTTGAGTCAAATTTTCCCCAGATTCTTCGCGTAGGGAGGAGCTTGTAATAAGCTCCAGCCCTGAGTTCTACGAACTTGAGAAAGTTCTCGTTGGGCGGTAGAACGACGTACTTGAATAGGATGATCGGAATGTGGGTCAGCTTTTGTACATAAAATCTTCCTTTTAAAACTGACGGGCGATGCCCTTGAAACGGTCCCCAATAGTTCCGCATGATATCCTATCGCTACTGTACATGTCAACCTTTATCTGCACGGCTTCTATGTCCACTTTGGTGGTCGTTTAGAATTTATTGGTTTCGTTATTTACTTACGTCTTACAATAATTCGAAATGTACTGTTTACTGCGACTTATTTGTTTCAGAAAACATTAATAGATTGCACTTAAGAACGCCATTAAAACAGAGTGTTTTTTTCCGATTTAGTATCGATCACCTACGGGTCGAGTTTTTTCTTTTAGCTTGATGTAATTGATGTAAATGTTCCCGGAAATCGGCAATATACGGCTTGTTTATTAGTTATTTGCGCAATTAATATAATTATTAACACAAGCAACACGAAACTTTGTAGTATGGAGCCTTAATTTGCGAAAGTCAAGACCGTTTGACCTGATGTTCTTTTCATAACAACAACAGCAATATTAAAGAAGTTCAGTGGTTTTTTTCTGATCAATTAAGCAAAATAAGATAAAGAACTAATGATAGATAATGCAACTAAAGAAGCTAAAGCATAATAAAATGCCTGAGCTTTCTGAGCAAAAAAATGGTTCTTCTTCTGTTGAATCAATCATGATTGGCACGTTTTCATAATTGCTGTTAATTACGTTCTAACAAAGTGTCGTTAATTAGGAACGAAAATGTACTTAATAACAAGCTGTATTTTTGCGTAAACTTCCAACATTGTCTGCGCCTAATTGACTTGAAAATGTAGCTATTTTTGAACGAAACGTGCACGTAGACAGACGAGAAATTGTTGAATAGAAAATTAGCACAAAATGGGAATGTCGAATAATTAAGACAAATAGGTTAATACTGTTTAAATGAATCGCATTAGCAAAATATACAATAAAACTGGTCATTTGACGCTTTGATAATAATAAATAACTAGCAAAAACAATTAAGGATAAATTAGCATAAGTAGTTTGAGATAATTGAAAATAAACGTTAATATGTTTCACCAATATATGTAGTTCCATTTTCTTCAAGTTAGTAAATATTTCGCGGATGCTAAATGCGCATTAATGCTATTAGTAAATTTTTCTAGCTTCTGATGTAGTTTCAATATCAATTTGTTATATAAAGACACTTTCGTTTACACCAATACTAACTGGTTACGAGCCACAGTTCCTTGATAAGAAAGGTCGTCAGCTCATTGATCTTCGCTAAGAATTTCACCAATCTTGAACGTTCTGGTTCCATTTCGCTGATTTTTGCGCTACGCTTTAGACCAACTCTAGGAAGAAAAACGCGTCAACACACTCAACATAAAACAGTAAACGTTAGGTCAAGTTCATCCGCATTCGCTTCCGAGGTCGCGTATCCAAACGGGTTTTCCTTCCATGAAGTGGAATGCAGGAATCAATTGCAACTCGTGTTGAGGTGGACCACTTATACTATACAAATAAAAAAATCAGAAAAATACGTTTTTAAATGAGTAAACCCTTCGTTTGGCCTAAATTAGCATATTAAATTGGGCTAGCAATTTATATAATGCTAATTAGTAACTGAAATCTAAAATCTCTCTCAATATCAACCGCCTTCTTCAGTATATCCTTAGACATGCACGACCTTTACCTTTTAAACCGCAAATTTCTCACAAATACTTCGACTTAAATGCGATATTGACCCACTGCCAATTTCCTGCATGTTAATGGGTAAATGAGGTCCAAAAATTGCTTGATGGATTAGATTTGCGGGTTTATGTATTAAGCATTAAACAAATAGATTGTTTAAAAACCCAAGTTTACCCGATTCGGAGATGTTTTACCTGTCGGTAGAAAAAACGGCGGGTTTTGCGTGTAACATTTCAGTAATTTTGTCGGTTAGCGGGATAGTAAGATCACATTCGATTCTGCAATTTTCTATTTAATGGCTTTTCTTAGAAATTATGCGCTTTTATTACCCTAAAGGCAACCAAAATTTGTTTTTATATATATATATATATCGAGCGCCTTATTAGATCAGATTCCTTGCAGAATTGTTGTGAAGTGTTAAAACCTGAATGGATTTTATCTGCGGCTTTCGATACACACAATTTTTTTTCCAGCGCAGGACAAAAGAAGGACCAGTGGACAGAACGTGGCAAACAAAAACACAGTCAAATTGATAAAAACAATGAAATAAAATCTCCGATACGCTTAGGACTTGGGACAACCGTAAACGATGATACTCTTATCCTCGGACACTGAAAGAATCTTGCTGCTGTCTGGACTATACTTCACGCTCCAAACCTGCAACAGTAAAACCCGGTACGCTCGTTTCGAACTATCGAGCTTCTGGTGGTTTAACCGACCTGGTCTGTATGTTCGCTGAAAGTGTGCACACACTGTCTGCTCTTGAGCTCCCAAACTTTGACGGTTTTATCCGAACTTCCCGACACGAAATTGTTGCCATCGGGCGAAAAAGCTACGCCCAATACCCAGGAGGCGTGTCCGGACATAGTTCCCACCAGATTCGTGTGTTGGCTAAATGAAAATAAAAATTAGACGCAAATAAACCCGCTGGCTCGAACTTACACGTCATAAAGCTTCATATGACCATCATCAGAAGCCGTCAGTAGCAATTGACTATCCGGCGAAAAACACAGAGATCTAATGGGCATAGCGTGGCCTTCCAAGGTATGCCACAATTTGTTTGAAGCCACATCGAAGATATTGATAATACCGTCAATGGCTCCACTGGCAATGTACTTTCCATCAGGGCTCTGCCGATAGGTAAAATGGATCTAGAATAAGCTAGAGCGGCGTATAGGCACTTACATAAGCGACACTCAAAGTGAACTTTCCCCTGGTATCAAACGGAAGTTCTGTGTTGGCATTTTCCACGCTATACTGGGAGATTTTCCCCGAGTGGCTTCCAGATATGATATATTTATCATCGGGACTAAATTCCACTGTCCACAGGTCAACTGGCCCTACATCAACATTGGCAATTTTCTCGCCTTTCTCCAAGTCCCATATTCTCATTGAGGCATCCAGAGAGCTGGACGCGCATACTAGACGCAAGCAATGTTCATTAACTAGTCAAAGTAATACACAGAAACCTACGTTTTCCATTGTTGCTGACTGCCACCGAAATCACCCCTAACGAATGTCCTTCCAGAGTGTGTTTCAACTCCAGTTTATCCTCATGCAAGTCCCATACCTTAACTAAATCATCCACACCGCCTGTTATGATGTATTCAGCCGGTGCGTCGTCAGACATAACTGAATCTCTAAAGCAAATTTTATGAGAATTAATTTAAGAAGATTAAATTAATAAACAAAGAGTGTGCTAAGAAGCAAGGAAATGAAAATTCTACGTACAAATAAACCCTACGGAATCAAATAAGAAGCTCGGACATACGGAGGAACATAAATTTTACGATGTCGTTCGGTTTGTACGGTCAAGACGCCGAAATTAGGGGAATCACGTGCAAAGAATGGACAATGATCCACGGGCAAAATCGGCAAAGAATGGCACCAGAGTTGGACACTCACATCACCAGAGGCCGGATGAAGGGAAGACATGGTCTTCAAAGTAAGGGGGAAGATCATTTCCGAGCAATTTCTTTACTTATGGTTTCTTCTCAGCAACTTAATGGCATGATGATTTGCCCTCAAAATAAAGCAACTCAGTGCTAAATAACATTAAGGGAGGGAATTCTTGAAGCGCGAAAGGAAAAGAGTTAAGCCGATGGATCAAACCTTGATTTTTCATCGTCTCCGCCTGGGGCGTCGGGTTCTTTAGGTTTTTTCTCCGGTAAATATCTGCCCCATGCACACGTCCATATGCTTTCGTCATGGGCATTGTCTTTTTTGCAGAGCACTGAATACTGAAACAGAAGTCCGTCCCACCAGTCCCAAATCGCTTTTTTCGAAAATCTTACCATGTTGCAGGCCGAGCAGGAGAAGTAAAAGGCCACCGGTCTCAAGTCTCAAGAAGCCCTATGGTAAGAGTATTTTGCATGAATACGGTCCAAATTGTAAATAAAGAAATTAATGAATCTGACTTGGGGCTTTGATGGAAAGACGCTGCTTGTTAAAGCTTTGGGGTTTTACCTTAATTTATCCTCTGGAAATTTCACTGTTAATCCAAAATTAATCCTTAAACTGTTATAAACAAATGCTTTAAACGCCGTAAAAAGTTGGGTTAGGGTCGACTGTTGTGTTAAGAGAAGAATTGGGCCAGTGGCGGCGAAACACACATTAGCGGCTCGTGAAAGGGGGCACAGATTACTAAACCGGATAATAAATTTTACATGTACGAGCGTTTATAAATAGAAAAGTTTTTAGAGTGGTTCGATTCGGTTCTAATGCTGTAGAACAAATCTTAGATAGCTAATTGATATTATGTAACACCTGCAATATGAAGAAAACTGAATGTAAACGTGTTCTGCAAAGTAGTATATCAAGCCCGGCTAGCTCAGTCGGTAGAGCACGAGACTCTTAATCTCGGGGTCGTGGGTTCAAGCCCCACGTTGGGCGAAGACTTTTTTGCAGTTTTCTCCTTTTCATTGAAATTCCAAAATAAATCTTTTTTAATGAAAAGAAACAAAGTCTTTTAAAATCGTCATATAATTATGAAAAATATACACTATGGGAAACAAAAAATAAACTTTTTATTATCATAATCTTGTCAATTAAGTCAAATAAGCCCCGTTTAGATCACAATATAACATTCACTTAAATAAAAACAGTTGAAATTATTATTATTATTACACCCTTATTTTTTAATTTTCACACTTTCAGCTTACATTTGTTTTTTGCTTTATTTTATTCTCTTGGGCAGTCCTAGCGATGGCTGAAATATTGCCAAAACGTTCGCCTAGGACAAACTGTATAACCTGCTACAAAGTTCGAAACACCCTGTATGAAACCGGCAAGCACTTGAAAAAAAACCGTTGAGAAACCCAAAGATCGAACAATTGAAAAGCTGGAAAGTTTAATAAAAAAAAACCATAATCAAGTGATGCTAAATTTATCGCTTCATCCAGTATTCGGAAAGACAAACCCAAAAAAGTGTCAAGGAAATAAAAATTAATGAAAAGTTTGCAATTTCCTTCCTGAGGCTTCTTATGGCTGAGATTGAGAACTAAACTAGTACAGCAACTTTTGCGAGAAAATCATCCACGAATTTGGCTGCTGTGCCGTCTCAACACTTGGTAGACGGTTTCTTTCAATGTTTGCGGCTTACAGTACTCCTCCAACCAGCTAAACACGCCGGCTGATAGCTCGGAAAAATTGCTAACTGATATTGCACTAAATGTGAGGAATAGCTGATCCATGATGGTTTGAAACTAGACAAAAAATACGAACCGTATATATGAGATTATCCTGGTTTTGAGGCAATATTTACAAAAATAAACCTAAAGAGCTGATAAAGCTTACCACGGAGAACTTGATTTCATCCGAAACAGGAGTCTCTGTGTGCCCAGGCTGAGACTGCTGAGCCTTTACAATCAGCTCATAGTTGGTCTGCATTATTCTCAATGCAATCACCTCCTTACGCAAGGCATTGCGGTCGTCCTCCTGCTTCCGTTTCTGCTGTTGTAAGTACTGAATATAATCAATGGATTTCTGCAGAACTGTGGCCTTGCTGAGTTTATACCCTAAGAATAAATGCGATCATTAACTATTGCTGCCCACAGGAAGAATGTTTCCTATTCACCTGAAACGTCAGTCTGCTGGCAAGTGGGGACCAATTCCTGCAAAGTGTCGTAGCCCCGTTTAATTGCATCCCGTCGTTTCTGTTCAGCTTGAGTGTGAGCCTCTCGTCTTCGCTCCTTGTAGCTCAATGATGAGTGTCTAGAGTCCATATCATCATCATCATCTTGAACAAGATCAATGTTTTTTATGGAAATTATCAACTGAGTCCTGTTGTTTACTCAAGCGAATTAAATCGATGTTCTTTAGTAAACATCCAGGACAATTTGCATAGAGCAGTTCAACGATAAAACATAAAGATAAGAACGAGAAAACCAGACCTTACCAGACTGGTTGCTGTTTATGGAGTTTCTGCTCGAACTGAAGGCCAGATGTTCCTGCGACATTATGTAGTGAAAACGGAGACCTTTAACTGCATTAATAGACAAAATCAGCGGCTAAAAAGACTGAACAAACTAAAATAATTAAGAATAACTGTTCAAACTATATACAATTTGCCATTATTACATTGTCAACTTTGAAGTTTGCGGTAAACATGTCAGTGCGAGCTGCGAGCACTTGAGAAGAAGACAACGGGATGGAATAAATTTGCAACTATTCAGTAAATACCCATTGAAGATTGTGTTAATTTAATAAAGAAACATTGAAGTTTATTATGGAGTACTGTCCATCGAGTTTGGGCACATTATTGAAGTAGAAATGTTCTGTTGAATTTTTCTCCGTTTGATTCAACGCGACAGAGGAAGACAGACTGAGAATGAACGGGGGACAACGCAAGAGAGATATTTAATAAAACTTTAAAAATTTAAATATAGGAAGGCTTAAAATATTTTTATCTCTATTAAAAGTTCAAGGTTAAATCTATTTGAGTATTTAGCATTTACCTTTCTTGAAATTTAATTTCTAAAACATTTCTTGACCATAAATGGAGCATTCAAATGAATTGGCATTTTGTAAATTTACTTAGGAAAATGTCGTCCTTAAGTATGCAGAATTACAACCTCAGGTATTTTTGAGTTTTCGAGTCAGTGTCGCTCCCGAAGGGTTCGGCACAACAATTACATTAAACCCTGCTGGATATCGAAGTCTATTTGAACATCGGCTGGATTCAAACTTTGGGGACGACACTGATTTGAATGCGAAATAATCTTTTCAACTCTCTAATTGCGTGTCTGTTGTTCTCCTAACAGTGTCGTACCCAAATAGCTTGGCATAGCAATCACTTTAGAGTTTACTGGCTGTTCAAAAAGATTTAGAAATAGGACATCTTCCATTTTCAATCTCAGACTCTGGAAGAAGAACAACCTGCAAGTGATTCTAAATATCTCTCAACTCCCGAACAAACCTCATTCAATGTCACAACGACAACGCCAGAACTCTCTAATCCCATACCTCCATCCCTCACTCAAAATTCCATGTCTAGGAAAAAGACCCAAAAGGTCCTGATCCCACGAGGCACCGTAAACCCTAATGAAGACACCCTTATCGAAATACCCACATCCCTGAAGGAAAAGCCGATGGTAATCGCCAGCCAACCGCACCACAGCTTTGGGAATACCAGCAGACCATTGGAAAAATCCTTCACAAGGTCCACCTCACCTATAACAAGTGCTGGTAGAGCTGGATTCCACTCTACGACCATCCCAGATCCAGTATTTTCCAGCAGCATGGTGGAAATGGACGATATGAGGTTGCCTGATCTGGATTCTACCGAACAGGAGGAAGCAATGATGGTCCAGGAGAAATTGCGGGCGTTTCAAGAGGCGCGCCGCCGGTTCCTGATGGAGGCTACCCGAGTGGCAAACAAGTCGATCCAAACGAGTCCTTTGAGTTTTTCAAACAGCTTCCAACAGGATGACGTCCAGGGTTGTTCCTCTAGATCCAGAATGGGGCGGAAGCATCATGGTAGAAGGACGAAGTCCTCTAGAAGCTGGGACGATGAGGATGATGACCAATGTGGATGTTGACAAAAAAGGTTCTTCTAGAATGTTTCATGTGACGCTACTGATCAACCGACCCATTTAAAAATTTCACTACAGTTTAAACAAATAAATCAGATAAAGAGCGACCGTAATAATTATTGACGAAATGGGATTTCTTTTCGAACAGTGTGATCAGGTATTCTCCTTCACATTGAAGTTGTTTTTAGCTGTCGATCGAGTAAATAAACAGACCTCAACCATCCAACTTGCAACATTCTGCTTATCTTTGTTTCAATGCCAGGTATGTAAATGCATGAGGAAAACGTGGCTTTGATTGAAACTTGCTCTGAAAGGTTTCCTGCTTACCAAATAAGCGAGGGAGTATCAGTCTAGTTACGGGTATTTTCAACAAAAAAATTTACCTGCTTACCTGGTAAGCAGGGAAACTTTTCTGAGTTAATTTTCATCCAGATTACTTGTTCGGTTTCGGACCTATTAGTCTCAGCCGCCTGATGAGGACTAATAGGTCCGACACCAGTCCTGGAGGTTCTTGCTTGGGACCTGGTAAAAAGCAATTCTTTACAAGAACAGTCTCCAGTAATCCAGTCTATTGAGCAATTGAGCCAACCGTTCATTCAACGGCTAGAATGGAATTTCCGGATCATTTGACTATCTATTTTTGTGTGTTCATTATTCCTTGCAACGCAGGTTTACACTCCACTTTCAGCCGCGTTGTGCAAACACAACGACACTAAACAAATACCTAGGCTTCATTTTGCGTAGCTTCCATAGTTCACATAGCTGATAAAAGGATGTTTGTAAATACCATTGACTGATTGGGGTCGAAAACACCTGATTTCTAGTTGGCTTTGTTTTCCAAAACACTCTTCAAGAAACAGTCATCACTAGAGGGCGGAAAATATGCAAAGTGCATATCTATGCATTTTTTGCATATTTTATCCAATTTCATGAAAAATTGCATATATCTAAAAAAT